ATATTAATGACTAACCTCGTATTGTGGATGGATTATCTCAGTTGTTCTCCTGATTGAAGTTTGGTCCGTTTACAGCATCCTGCCATACGATTGCATTTGTCTCTAACCATCAGGAACCTTCACGTTAACTTTTATCCAGTGGAAGAAAGTTAGCTTCATCCTCCAGCTTCACTGTTTATGCTAACATAGCTGTGTCGCTAGCAATCACGTAGCACATCATTATATAGCAGCTAGCCCAACTTCAGTAACCCTACAAACGTCACTGCTGTTTAGTTTTCTGTCTTCATTCATGTTGGAAGTGATAACAGAGCTGTACGTTTGAATATATTCAGAAATCTCTCAGTCAGAACATGCTACATCATGTTTAGGTGGAAGCTAGCGAGCTAACTTCCTGCTAACTTCCAACTCTGTTAAGTGTAATAAATTATTTTTTCATGGATTCCTGGATGTTAAACTTAATTGTTACACCTGGTAAAGCAGCAACGCTGATGATTTTAATAAAGATGAAAGAATTTAGGTTTTAACTCTCAGTGATGCTGCAGTGTTCGTTTGACTTTGGGACCTGAAAGTGACGGCGTTTAGGACCCAGATTACTCCGCAAGGCTCCTGAGTACGGCAGCCATAATGCTCAGACAATCCATCAAGCGGTGCGGCTTCGTAGCTTACAAAAGTCGTACTAATACTGAACCTTATAGCCCGAAAAGACACGGTAACCATCTAGGATTGACTCACTTTGTAGCCAGCCCCAAGTGGCCACTAATGGAATTGCAGTTTTTGGTCCCTTTTGCATGGGCTCCATGTTTTGCTCCCCCCTGTTGCCAGCAGAAACCATGACAAATGCCTGGTCTCATTTGCTTTCTGTGTGGAGCAGAGAAGCTGTTTGTTGATGTTGAAAATCTTCCAGCAGCTTTGAGGCATCTTGGCTGTCACCTCTCTTTCGTTCCCTGGGGTTTTCATTTTATACGTGTCACCGCAGTATCTTTCCTTCCCTCCTCACAACTCATTCTAAGCTCTTTATTTTAGGCTGTCATGGCACAGTGAGCTCGTCAAAGTGTGAGCTAAAATGTTTGAAAAATCTGCATCATGGTCTTTTAGAGTGTGACACAGGGTCTTCTCAGGGTAGTAGGCTTGTCATGCTACAAGGGTTTCAAGCTCAATACTAAGGAAAATACTCACTACTTGTTATCATGTCAAAAATTAAAGGGACTTTTTTTAAAATAAAAACTAGATCAGTACAAACAATATCAGTGACAACCATATTTTAAGTTGATTCATGTAGTGCACAATACATCAATGTAACTTTCAGGTTTATATCAAATATTTAAGATTTTCTAAAGTACTGACAAAAAATAGACAAACATATTGTGGGTATATAGTTTCAATTAGATAATGTAGCAGTAAGTGAGTATATTGTATACTGCAGAGGCTCACAGCAGGAACGTGATGTAAACTGATTCAACTTTATACATTTGGTCATTTATAATCTTGCATTGACCTGAACTTTTAACTTGTGCTTTTATTTGAATCTCTTCTGTGTGACTTTGAATTGAATGAAAACATGTAGTGAAACTTGAGGATGTTATTGAGAAGTTATCTTGGATTGCTGATCACAGAAACCATCCGAACCTCTGTGGAGAGCAGCCAAAATGTAAAATGTTATATGCTGACAGGCACCAAGGAAATTATACTAATGTTAAATTAGATGTTAAATGTGTGCAGTGGTTTTTATTTGTGAACTAACTGAGGCAATCTAAATGACAAAGAAAAGATTTAAGTTTAGTCTTAAGTGGCTGACAAATCGTAATGACCCTTCAGGCCTCGTATGTAGTGCCACCTCTCACTAGCTGCTCTGTACTTTGCTTCATGCTGAACTGTTGAAGAATAATGAAAAGAGCTGTACCAGAGTCGGTGCTTGTTAACCTGCTGTGTTGAAATGATTCCAGCTTTTTGCAGTTTCTATCGGCTCGCTGATGTAATTATCAGCTAAAGAGACTTCTTTTAGCTGGAGGTAATGTCTGTTTTGTATATTGTTTCATATCAATGTATATCAAAACTCTCCTGTTTGTAGAGCTTTGATGAATTTGTTCATGCTGTTTGCATATTTTTGTTACAACAAGAAGGTAATTGAAGTAATGGTTTCCTAATTGATTTGTGTATGTATACTGCTTCTTGCTATATGGAAGGATGGAGTATACATTGCTTGTTTCTTCCACTCAGTAACAGCAACTTCTATCAGCGTGGGGTGAAAGATGTGCAATGCCTGATACTGAAATCAGAAAAAAATCCTTCAGGGTTTGATAGTTTTGTAGCTGAAGGTTCAAGCAAACTTCCAGAACCTTATTTTCTGTTATTTACCCATGAAATCGTTTTTATGTTGAAACATCTCTGCAATGCTGTTTTTAAGGAAAGATTACAGATTAGAATTCTAAATAATTGCGGTTTATTGTATGAGAAAAGCTTAAGTAGGTGTGTAAAACTGTCCTTCCTCGGAGGCACGGACAGAGGTGTGGAATGGGATTTTCAGCCTGTGATTTTATTACATTTGGTCTGTAATTTGGCAGGATTGTGATCTGACTGCATCGAGCGTGTCAGATTATGTGTGCTTGGTAGGAGCCTTTTTCCGTCACAATGCATTTTACCGGCAGTGAAATTGCATCGCCCTCGCTCTCGTTCACACAGATCCATGACGAGGGATTCTGTGGTAGGATTAGTCATGCAGTGGCCCCGCCATACTTACATTAGAGCTGGATTTCACTGTGTTTGAATTTCACGGGGGGAAACCTTACAACCTGAAGGTTTGTGGAACGAGCAGAGAAAATCTGACAGAGGCAGGCTGAGACTCGTCTGTATCGTGTCCAGGAGTGCTGATGTGTGTTTGTCTGTCTTACAGAGGACCAGATACCACACGGCTTCCCCACCATAGACATGGGCCCCCAGCTGAAGGTTGTGGAAAGAACGCGTACGGCTACAATGCTGTGTGCAGCCAGCGGAAACCCCGATCCAGAGATCTACTGGTTCAAAGATTTCCTGCCTGTGGATATTAGTAGCAGCAATGGGCGCATTAAGCAGCTGCGATCAGGTAAAGCACTCATCTCAGTCGGTTCACACACAGATTTCTGTTAAGCAATGAGAGGCACAGGATTCTTCAGGCGTTAATCATTCATTTTTAATTAGTAGAAAACCTGTTGAAAAGGTGCAATCGTGAGAGTTTGAGGAGAATCCACATATCATAATAACACTGCACTGTCTGTGCAATACAATATTTATATGTATTGAATGAGAGTCCATTTATGTTTTCACCAACAAGAGGGATGTACTAAGGAGTGTCAGAGTTGTCAGTATTACGGCTCTGCCTTCATCTGGTTAGAGCATCGTACTAACTTGTATCGGCTATGCAGACGTGAAACGCACCAGATTTTTCTTGTACTCCTAAGTGCAACATATGAAGTCATTTTATACATCCAACCTTGAGCCATGCGTTACTGATATACCAAAGGAAGTTAATAAAGTTACAGATAAATACAAATATGTTTACTCTGTGCTCTGTGCAGCTTCATATATATATAATCTTTAAAAAAATAAATAAAATAATGGATATTCCAGCCCTATTTTAAGTGACGCAGAGGGGAAAACTGCTTCTCAGGCCTTCTGCTGTGACGCTTCAATTGCAAGTATTGTCTCGAGTAGATGCAATCAGTTCCAGCAGCCCCGTCGGAGCTGGAACATGATGCAGACTTTGAGATACTGACATAGTCTCAGAGGAACAAGCCTGAAGAAGGCAACATTCAGTTGCTCCATTTTTACAGAGGAAGAGTGAAACTGAAGCAGTAGCGAAAGTTGATGAACGCTGCTGTAAAACCAGTTATCTCTAACTGGGGTTTTAGGTTTGGTTGAGCGAGTATAAGCAAAGAAAGTCTGGCTGAGTAGTGGACCTCTCCGAGCCTGGGACCTCTCTGAGCCTGGGACCTCTCTGAGCCTGGGACCTCTCCGAGCTTGGGACCTCTCCGAGCCTGGGACCTCTCTGAGCCTGGGACCTCTCTGAGCTTGGGACCTCTCCGAGCCTGGGACCTCTCCGAGCCTGGGACCTCTCTGAGTCTGGGACCTCTCCGAGCCTGGGACCTCTCTGAGCCATTTAATAATTCCTTCAGATATTAGCACCCAGGCCTGTCAGTGTCATGCTGTTAGTGTTGAACACAGTTTCTGTTTTACTGGATATAATAAGTCTCTTAATGGGATTTGGTTTGTGTTTACATGCATTTATAGACTCATGACCATAGCACAGACGACTGATCACAAAAATGACATAAAAAATAACAACACTTAAGGTGAAGTGGTAAGCAACAACTGAAGTTGCTAAGAGTAAAGTACACATTAAGCAAATGATGGAGGCTAATGTTTCCTACTTTGAACAGAACCTCATAGATTCAGTAATTACCTGAGCAGCACCTGTGCAGGATTATTGGCGTGCCAAGAGTGCTTAAGACCCCACAGACGGTGATGAATGTTAAAGCACAGGCAGCCCTGTAAAGCAGCTCTGTGAGGAGGCTGCCAGCATCCAAAGAAGCAGATAGTGCATCTCATTCCACCAATCCGGGCTGAGCGGCTCACAGCAGAGCTGGATGGCTGAGTAACCGAGCCCTGCGCAACCTATCAGCTGCCCTTTCTGCTCACTTTCCGAGAGAAAATAGAAATGTTTGAGTCTTGCCAAAACTCGTAAGCACCTACGCATCGTTGGATCGGCTCTTCAGGTTCAAACATCCCTCCCAGCTTTGCAGCAGTGCTAAAAAGCCGATTTTGCATCTCAGCGGGCCTGGAGCCCCTCTTGAGGCTGCTTGCATCTCAATACAGGCTGGAGACGAAAGGCTGAGAGACATGCTCTGGGACATCGCTGGCACTGAAGTTCACCCCCAGGATTTTCCCAAGTCACAGTCAGGGCCTCAGGTAGGGACAAAAATGCCATATATTATTAACTGAACAGCACGGCAATTTGTTTTAATTTGGTTCATAGAGCCCACTGTCACATGGAGTCCCTCTGCAGTCGAGCACAGATGGCTTCCTTTATTGGAAAAATCAGAGTTATCCAGTGGCACGCCAGCAAAGTGAAACAGATAAAGTCAGCCCCTCAGAGTTATTCAGATTATTTGTTTCAGTAGCTTTCATTATAAAGAGGAGTGACTATATTAGTTCCTTTTAAATGCCTTTGATCCATTTAAAACTTTAATAGCTTCTTTCTTTTTCAATCTGAGGCCTTTGCTCTGTTTGAAGAAAAAAAACCATAAAAATCTTCTGCATAACTTTTTCCTGCCAATATTTCAATAAAAGATGTGAAACCAATGAGGGACAAAGTTTCAGGATGAGATCTGACTGTCCGGGGGGAACAATGAGACCCAGAGAAGAGGAGCGATGCGACAGCCCTGCAGTAAACGTGGGGTGCAACGTTCACCTCCGAGTCACCACAAACCTGCGACTCAGCTGAACACTGCTGCGAGTCACTGAAAACCTCTGAGACCACGTTTTGGAAATCAGAAAGAAATCAACTTTAATTTGTAGGTGAGACTTCACTAGCAAGGACCACAACCTTCCTACTTATTACTGATAATGTTGTTCTATAAATGAGAAGCAACACTCTCAGGGAGCGGCTGCTGCTTACGTAACACCTCAGTGGGGACTGAGCTTGATACAGGCAGGCGGGCTGGTTTATAGACGTCTGGTGTGGTCCTGCTCATGAAATCTGGAGATCCCACTTCAGTTATTTTTGCTGCCAGATGTTCTTAAACTGGTATTTCAGTCATGTAGGACTGAAGTTTAAAATGGTGAAGATACAGATTTGAAACCAAAAGAAATCCAAGCAAAGATTATCTGACTTTTTTTTCTTCGGATTCTTCTGAATATTTCCAACTATTCCAGCCTCAGTCTGTGAGGTTCAACAAGAAGACAAATAAGATCAAACACCTGATAAGCTTGTAATTCATCCAAATTCAGTGAAGACGCAATAATTCAGTGTGCAGTTGTTTGTTTTTGGTTAACCCCCAGAGACAGCAGTGACACCCCAAAGTGCCCACCTTTCTCAGAACCTTTTCCATCCCAGCGCCATCTTCTGTTCACACCAAACGTCCAATAAATTGTCCTTGTGGTGCAAAGAACAGAGAAGTTTTAAAGTGAGTGATTTCTGAAAACATTGAAAACACTAAAGACTGTCCTCTTCAAAATCTTTCCAACAAGAGGTGAAACTTCATGTTGAGAGTGACAGTGAGCACTGTGCATAGCAGTAGGTGTTCTCCAGGGAGGGGAGAATTATTTTCTGTCTTCCGCTGTGATTCCTTCAATTCTGTGAGTTTGAGTAATTAGGCATCAACAAGACAGCACCACCTTAGTTTAAAGACCTATAAAGAGTAAGGATCATGCCAGTGCAGCTGGATGGAGCTGTGAACACAGCAACACATCCCCGTAGTATCTGCTTGTCTAGCCAGCCTCGGGAGCAAGATGTAGTCTGATTTGTCTCCAGATTTTATGACTCTGTAATCGCCTGATCTGAGTCAGCGACCACCTCAACAGATAAAAATGTTGTGTAGTCTGAAAGCAGCATCATTGCTCCGCATTGAAACCGATAGATAACATCAATGTCAGCCCCTCTAACAGCCAGTCAGATGATATGTTTTTGCTTCATTCTGCTTGGAAAAGGAAACCGAAACAAAGCTGGAGGTTTTTACTTTACACAGTTTCATACAAGGACTCTGATGTTCTCAGCTGATATATGAAGATAGAACTGCACTCACTCTTGGTGGACTCTACTTCGGAAACAAAATAATCCTTCCAATCCAAACATTGTGAAAATATAATAAAACCGTATTATTTTTCACAATGCTGCCCTGAATCTGTCATAACAGACTTCCTGCTGCAGTGGGATCCATCCAGCTGTCAGGCAGCTGTGAGAGGGAAGTCATGGCAGGTCTCGGTAATGTCCAGCCCCGCTTTCTGGAAGCTGCTGATGTCTCCTTCATCAGCTCACGGGGCCACACAGCTTCCAGGGCTCCTCTTCACCACCTGTATCTGACACTTTGTTTTCCTGTCAAAGCGGCTTGGTTTATTATCCAGATCAGGAGAATCTGCATAGTAACCATCCCTCTCTCTCGTCCGTTTGTTGCATATGACCTAATATGCTCAAATGGTTCCTTTTACTTACACCAGTAAACTACAGAATGAACAGCAGCAGGCTGAGCAATTAACATTATGTAAATAGGAATTTGAGTGTTGTGTTTGAATAACAACAAGCTGTAATTATAACTGAACTCTCCTTAACAGCGTCTTAACCAGCTTCAAGGGGTGAAGATGAGGTTCATGTAGCTGTTGACCCAAAATTTCATTCACCTACAATGACAGTTTGCTTAACTGCAGCTTATTAAAATCAATTATCTCCATTAAAAGAGGAACTGTTGGCAGCTGTCTGCTTCATTTGCTCTCTGCAGGCCAGAATCTTTCATGTTACTATTTAGAATTAAAGATGGTTTTAACAAAGTGGAAAGTCCACTCTTTGCAGATTCACGTGTGCATTTCTCAAACAGTTTAGTGTGCTCGTAGCCTTCTTATATGTCTGTGATGCAATAACGATGTTGACTATCAGACAGCTCCAGAGGCTATTATACGTATAATCATAGGCTGCATATAAAAGATGGACACTGCAGTTTTGCTACCATCTTGGCTTTAGACATGAGCGATCATTTCTGCTGTTCTGAGAAAGTGACTTGCCGATTGAAACATAGCGTTTTTTTAAATACGAAAAAAGTGTTTAGTGAGGTCATGGATCTAATGAGCAGTAGGGTCATTTTGTGTTTGGCCACTAGAAAGAATACAGATTATGTACTGGTGTCATTGTACAGACTCAACTATTACACCACAGAGTGAAAGGAGCGCATCGTTTGTATTTAACCAGGAGGGTTTGTGTGCTTCTTAAAAATAGAAATACTTAATCTCTCCTGAAATAAAGAGGACTGATACAACCTGGTGAAACCAAAATAACTCAGAACTCTTCAGGGTTGAATTATAGCCAGAAAGTGGAATAATTAGTCATCGGCAACCGAACTTTAAGTGCGGAATTATTGATTGAACCTTCACATTAAAACTGCTGAAACTGGCCTAAGCAGTCATTAGAAGTGTAGAGCTGTTAGTTATCAAGCTTTATGTTCTCAGACAGTGACACACTTATTTACAGCCATGCATTGATCATTAATACATTTGTTTAAGTGTTATTATCTTTTATTAGCTATTGTATGAAAATACTATCTAAACTGAGCTAAAGGGGAGACACTAAAGAAGAACAGGATGAAAACAGATTTGAGGATGAAACCACTGAGCCAATTTCTGCTTTTGGAAGGGAATTTTGGAAATCTCTAAAAGCAAGAAACAAATCAAATTTTATGAATAAATTGCTCCATGGATCAGCCTCTGAAAAAATTCTTCTGTTAAAACTTCCAGAAAACAGAAGGAAACAAAAGTGTTGATTGGCGACTTCAAGTGGGAGGAAAAAGGCACTTTGAGAATGGAAATGGACGGGCTGACCGCTGAAACCCTACAAGCCACATTCATCTTATATATTCACATATACACTTTAAGCACTGCCTCTTATCCATAGACACTTATTTTGGAATCACTAATTAACACAACAGGATGTCTTTGTACTGTGGTAGTTAGCCAGGATACCTGGAGGACACATATGCAGGTACAGGTAGAATATGCAAAAGCCATGCAGAGAAGCATCTGCTATCAGGTCATAGCGGCAAAATTCTAAAGTAAAATTTTCATTCACCTGTGAGGGAAGCAAAACTGTCTCAAAGTTAAAGGCAGAGAGGAAAGTACAAAAAATCTACATTTTCACCACCATGTCTCCCTTTAATTAACAACATTTCTTTATAAAAGAAGACGATCTTAATCTTTGTCTCTTGTCATTATATCTGCCTTGACTGTTTAAAACACAACATTTAATGTGTAGAAACTAATGTCAGAAGCATCCATACTGGGAGAAACCAACCTCAGATCATGAACGCTGCACAGACAAAACACTGATGAGCATTTAGATGACCCAAATAAAGTGACAAGTGCTACAAAAATACATCTGTAGTATGCTAATGCACTGTGCTAATTATGAAGCTAGTACAGTTCTCAGCCACTGAGGCAGCAACGTAAGAGCACATTTCAGGACGCATGACGGTTTCTGTGCATTGCATCAGAGGGAGAGCAGGCTGTGTTCTGCAGGAGAACATGAAAAAGCACCGCGAAGCAGGCCTGTTGTTGGTGAATGAGGGTCAAGTGTTTGACAGCTTGGTGCTTTCAGGGAAAAAGCAGGTGTGGGGTTTTATGATGAGTAGCTTTATGGTCACAACAGGAAGCCAGCTCTGTGGCGCAAGTAGCCAGGTGTGCAACTCAAATAAGTACCGTGTTACAGTAAATAAGTAGATGCACAAATGACAGTCTGCCAGTCGGAGCTGTGTGAAGATGCATTACTGAAACTGTTTGTGCTTTCCAGATCTCGTGGGGAAAATAAATCACGTGTCTAGTGAAGAAAATGGTTTTCACTCAGAAAACATTTTCCACAGTTGTCATTTATGAAATTGGTTTTGGTTGAAAATAAACATTCAGTTTATTTCTCCCTCTGTGCCAACACTTGAACTTGTTCAGCGCTGAATAATATCAGAACTATTTACAGAGATGATGTTTTTTGAGTAGGGAGAGCCTAGCTTCCTCTTATCTGTTTGCTCTCCTGCCTTCTTGTCTTTCTGCTTCACTTCTGCTCTTTATACTAATGCTTATCTTTAATCTTATTTGCATTCAAATTACCTCACAGGTGGTACACCAATAAGAGGTAAGAATGCTGGCTACAGAAAAACATCTACTCATCCTCCCTTTCTCCTTCATCGCCTTCATCCTTCTCTCCACCTCGGTGTGTCCCCATTTCCAGCCCTCTGTCCTTTTGCCTGTTCCAACACTTTCTTTGCCTTCAGCACATAACCGTGCACAGGTGTGTATGGTCTTGAAAGAGGCGGGTAAAAAGTTTTCAAATTCAGAAAACCAGGGTAAATAATGCCTGTCTGCGGAGCTTCATGAGTACTTATTTTGGTTGAAGTCTCGCAGCTGAACAGTGTTGAGTTTGCAGGTCGTATAAAACAGAGTTGGACATTTTTTTTATCAAATGCAAAATAATGCCTTTTTGATATAATATGCAATCGTTTGTATTTTGCTGCTACTTACTATACACATGCAAGAAGGAAGAGTTCACCTTCAGAATGAGAATGCAGCACTGAAGACAAACTGCAGCTGCTTTCTATCAAACAGCTGTTTTACTCCATTTTCATGGTGTGGAAGGAAGGACAGCGGCGTGCAGAGGACTCACTAAAATCTAGACTCATATTTTAAAGAGTGCCTAACAATTATTATTTACCCTCCAAAATAAATGAAGAATTGGACGCGAAGTGTCTCAAAAGCAGGTGTTTAAAGTTCTGTGTCTCTTTTTCATTCTGTCAGCATGAAAGCACAACAATTTGTGTCAATCAGCATGAATTTTCTAATGATTTCTCCCCACTGGAGTGAGTCTGTGCTCACACTGATTACCAGGCTGGATCTCATCCAGGAGGTATTGTACTCAGATGCCCACATCTTAGCGAGCCCTTTCGATGTGTAAGAGCAGTGCTGTACTCGGAGGTCTTCACCCTCTCTCTGACAAACAGAAAGACGCCGTTTTCTTCATCTGCTCTTCCTTCGGTGACTACCCACCGCTCATGGCCACAAATCAGGGTGGTAAAGCAGACCGAATGGTCAGTTGGTAGCATCGCTTTAACCATCTCTTTACCCCAGCCGACTGGTACAATCTTTGCAGTCATGCGGTGAATCTGCCTTGAAATGTAATAAATCAGATAAGCTTCAGTTTGGATCGGCCTGTTCCTAGAACATTTCGCTCTTACATGGTTCCCACTCATACATGCTACATACGCACTCATACACGGCTCGAGGTGTGAAGGTAAAGGAAGTTCTGGTAGAGAACAACATTCTGTTCAGGGCTTCAGACGTTTCTATGTGTGACAAGACACCTTCTCCTGCCGCACCCGTCAGCCTTTTTGGTGCCAAGAGGCCAAAGCAAACATCCATCAGCTCAGGAGAGAGTGACGCACTTTCTCCTGAAATGCTGCTTCCTTCAGGAGGTGCAGAATGTCCAATGAGACAAACAGTCATCGCTAAAATGGAAATAGAGAATGATTCAATCTTCACAAACGTGACGTATCGCTCCTCAGTTGCCTGGACACTCTTTGGGAGAAACTTTAGAAAGTAGAGCTCTTAATCAGTATTTTGACCCAAGGATTTCTGATGTGTACATGTACTGTGTGTGTGTG